AAATGACCTCATACATAATGAAATGGGTAGCTTTATCATTTCATAAGAAAAAAATTTGAGAAAATATATTAATTCAAGAAAACTTGGCTTATTAGGCAAATCGGGCCTTGCATAGTAGGCTGAGAAGTGCGTTCTGGCTACTAGGTACGACATATATATAATATATATATATATATATATATATATATATATATATATATATATGTATTACCACACATCAGAAGGCCTGCAGCAGCTACTCAATCGCTTTGCTGCAGCCTGTTCCGCATTCGGCCTGACAATCAGCCTGAAGAAGAGACAGGTGATGGGACAAGATGTCAATGAGCTACCCTGTATAAATATAGCAGACTATGTGCTGGAGGCAGTCCACGAGTTTGTGTACCTGGGCTCCACAATCTCAGACACCCTTTCCCTGGACACTGAGCTCAACAGGCGTATCGGGAAGGCCGCAACAACACTGGCCAGGCTCACAAAGCACGTCTGGGAAATTCCAAACTGACAGTACACACCAAGGCTTAAGTCTATATGGCATGTGTGGTGAGTACACTTCTCTAAGGCTCGGAATCCTGGACCCTGCTCTCTCGCCAGGAGAGACGGCTCAATACCTTTCACATGTGGAACCCGAGACGCATCCTAGACATCACGTGGAAAGACCACGTCACCAACAACACAGTGCTCTAGAGAACAGGAGTCCCTTCAATGTTCACTCTCCTGAAACAGAGACGCACGCGATGGCTGGGACATGTCACACGCATGGTCGATGGCCGCATACCAAAGAACCTCTTGTATGGAGAACTGGCATCAGGAAGGAGGCCCACCGGAAGACCTCAGCTGCGTTTCAAAGACGCCTGCAAACGCGACCTCAAGCAGCTGAACTTCGACATCAACACTTGGGAGGCAGCAGCTGCGGACAGATCTGCCTGGAGGTGTAAAGTGCAGAAGGGACTCCAGCAATTAGAAGATGAACTGAAGAGGCAGGCGGAGGATAATAGACTTCAGAGGAGGTCTCGACCACTGTCAGACGCTCCCGCTTTGGCGTTTATCTGCGCTCGCTGCAGTCCGGACTGTCATTCTTGGGTTGACCTTCACAGCCACAGCAGGCGCTGCATCCAACTACACTACAACAACGAGACACCCAGGGCACAACTCTTATAACCCCACGGAATTGATGGATGCCTACTACTAATACATACACATTATATATATATATATATATATATATATATATATATATATATATATATATATATATATATATATATATATATATATATATATATACATATATATATATATGTCGTACCTAATAGCCAGAACGCACTTCTCGGCCTACCATGCATGGCCCGATTTGCCTAATAAGCCAAGTTTTCCTGAATTAATATATTTTCTCTAATTTTTTTCTTATGAAATGATAAAGCTAACCATTTCATTATGTATGAGGTCAATTTTTTTTTATTGGAGTTAAAATTTACGTTGATATATGACCGAATCTAACCAACCCTACCTAACCTAACCTAACCTATCTTTATAGGTTAGGTTAGGTTAAGTAGCCGAAAAAGTTAGGTTAGGTTAGGTAGGTTAGGTAGTCGAAAAACAATTAATTCATGAAAACTTGGCTTATTAGGCAAATATGGCCTTGCATTGTAGGCAGAGAAGTGCGTTCTGGCTACTAGGTACGACATATATATATATATATATATATATATATATATATATATATATATATATATATATATATATATATATATATATATATATATATATAATGTATATTATATATAATTATATATATATATAATTATATTATATATATAATTATATTATATATATTATATATATACACACACACATTATATATGAGTTTTTACATTCTTGTACAGCCACTAGCACGCATATCGTTTCGGGCAAGTCCTTAATCCCAGCTTTGCCCGGAATACGACCCGCCAAATCGCTTAAAAATCAGGTAATCATTTTACCGTTGAGTAAACAGAGGCTTCAGTTAAGTATTGACGCCCAGTAAATCCTCCACGGCCAGGATACGAACCCAGGCCAAAACGCTCGCGAAACGCCAGGCGAGCGTCTTACCACTACGCCACGGGGACATTAATACACATGTCGGCAAAACTGGTTAACTGTTCTCCACAAATAACTGCCGACTCACAAAATATATATTAACACTCTAAGAAATACAATTACCACTCCGAGTAATAAAAAAAAAAAGAGGACCTAGACATAAACTATTGATTATCGGATCATGTCTTTGGGAAAAACCAATTAGTGTAATGCTGTAAAATAGCTTTTGGGGAGAGAGCTTGCAACCTTGCGGTCATATGTCATAAGGTCATATACTCCATGCCTTCCGGAGGGTGAAGCAGATATCTTTTCATTCAACGACAGCAGCTCTATTCGCGGACATCTTACTGGTACCTGAGCAGTTGCCACGAGTCAGATATTTAATGCCACTTTGGGGCCCACTATAATAAAGGTGTTCCAGTTTACACAATAACAACATAAATAAAAACAACGTCTCGAGCTGTTCAGTGTTTTCCGGTATACAATACTGTCCTCAGTTACCTCGGGGGACGCCCACAGGTGTGTGTGGAGCCACGCTGGTGGAGGAATACTCAACCTCTCCTCGACTCAAATCCATTACATCTGGCGGTCGACCTCACAGAGGCATTCATAAATTCTGAATATGCTGTTCATTCAAAACGGGAGTATTCTCAAATATAAATTAATATTTTAATATTAAAAGTGTGCATATAGGCAAAGGTTAGGTTAGGTTAGGTGTTTAGGTTCTCTTGGCGATTATTTGTATTTGCAGTACGTGGGTGAAGCATCTACAGCGTTGTGGTTTGAACTAAGTTCGTCAGTGAAGCACTTGTTCCGGAAGTGTTCGAACGAAATCAGTTGTGAGTCGTGTGTAAACCGCTTTTCATTCATAAACAGGGGGTTTGGCCGGTGGATGGAGTCACTTTTGGGTCTTTGTTTGGAGGACGGGCTGGGAATACTTGTGGTTCATCCCATCTTTTAAGCAAAGGGCCATAGAACATTCCAATCACTCGCCAATCCCCCTGCTAATAAATGAAAAAAGGTTTACACACGACTCACAACTGATTTCGTCCGAACACTTCCGGAACAAGTTCTTCACTGACGATTTTTGTTCGTACCACAACACTGTAAATGCTTCACCCACGTAATACAAATACAAATAGTCACCAACAGAACCTAAACACCTAACCTAACCTATGCATATATATGCACAATATGATTTACGATATTAATTTATATTTGAGAAAATTCCTGTTTTGAATGAACAGCATGTCAAAAAGTTATGAATGAGTCTGTGGGGTCGACCGCTGGATGGAATGGACTCAAGTCGAGGACGGATTGCCCACGTACTGCAAATACAGATAATCGTCAACAGTACCTAAACAGCTAACCTAACCTAACTAGTGCCTAAATATGTATAATATGCTAATACATATTAATATTAATTTGTATTTGAGAAAAGTTCTGTTTTGAATAAATAAACAATAAATAGTAATGTTAAAATTGATGACTACGTCTTTGGGGTCGACCGCTGGATAGAATGGACTTGGTCTGGGGCCGGATTGCGTGGTTATTTATTGATATTTTAAATAAAACCAACAATTGCAATAAAATTACTATTATTTTATTTGAGAATTTTATTTCTCCAATAAAATATTTTATTATTTGATTTCTCCTACTGATGTTGGGGAAATGTAGATTGTGTGCGCATTGCGGGTACCTTGCGATGATTTCGGAACTCACTGTCCCCGCGGCCCGGTCCCCCTGGCCCGACAAGGCCTCCTCAAGGGTGGAGCAACTTCTGGTGGACACGTGACAACACAAAGTAACAAGACTCTAACAAAAATAAAGAAATGCCTCAAGATGATGCAATTTGTTATTTATTTTGTTTATTGATGAGAATTGCAGGTTATTTGTAGCCAATATCTAAATTTGTTAAAACACTTAAGTTAAAACAAAAACTTGAGGATTATTACCCAGTACGCAGCAATGTCTATTTATACCCAGCCATAATGACTCCTGTGTCTGTTTAATCAATGCTTGAGCTTGTCTAATGTTCTAACAATGCCCGAACCCTTTTACCACAATGGCATCAATTAGCCATTGAGCAGAGAACAAAATACTAACAACGATGTAGAAAAAACACCCAAGCTGAGAGTGTGTTTTTATTGGGAGACAAAAGTGAGCGCCTGTAAGGCTTTAATCCCATCTAACCAAGCGAGGCGTAACCTCCCTTGAGCGCCGGCTCTCAACATGCTGTTGGTCAAATCATCAAAGGCGATAACTGGACACTCATTCCCCACAACTATAACCCTGGACCACTATTTATCCATTTCATCAATTTAAACTAAATCAATTATAATCAAAAATTTCAAATTAAAATTCCGGTTTCTATAGCTCTATTAATATCCCTTTCAATTAAGCCCTGTGTAGGGCACACACCATATACACACATGATTTTTCTTTTGTGAAATAAACTTGACCGAGAAAAAAGATTTAAATAATAGTAACCCATTTATAAACTTAAATTCATATTAAATTAACAACATTAAAAATAAAATGTAAAAAAACAGGTTATTTTGTGCAGATCCACATCTCAAGTGGCCGACTCCAAATATGCCACCCACAACAACTCCACAGGTACCACCTATAACAAGTTCACATATTACACCCCAGCCACCTCCATATACTCCACCCAAGCCAGCTCAAATATGTAACAACATAGTACAATGAAAGGAGTCATTACTCATGAGACTGACCCGACGGTTCAGGAATTAATAAATTCCGTCTAAGTGTAAGAAGTTTAACATCACACACAAGTCCAGGTTTTACCGTATACCTCCGGCGTCTGAGGGTCTGGCGAGACGCCTGGCTATCAACACCATTAATCAAGATGAACGAAAAAATTATCATATTGGAAAACAAAAAAGTTAAGAAATAATAATTACCAATTAGAGGAGAGAATTTAGCCTTGTTTATGACGGATGTTTGTGGGAGGTGAGGAGGGCAGGTGTAGTGGGCACAGGCTGGCGTCACCGGGACTACTGTCCCAAGCTAGAGAGGAAGATGGCGACATTGGATGGTCACTGTTATTGTCGTGTTTCCGCAGTTTCAGGGAAAGATGGTTCAATAAGTGGAGGAATTACACGCACTGATCAACAAAGGTCTCCAAGGTGTGTATCCGAACATCTTACCAACACACAATGCACCGCAATGAGTGTAGTTGCATTGATGAACGCTTGACGAGCGCAGTGCTCTAGGTGTACCTTGCGTGTTGTAGACTATCATAATGGTGCTTGTGAAGAGGTCTGCTTCAGCCCTTCCTGCTGACGCTCGCGGATAGAATGAGTACTTTTAACTGAGTAACACCACTGGACAGTGAATTATTTTCCAATCAACGGTAATATATATTTTGCGACGCATATATAACATTTACTAGTACTCTACGAATTGTTAAGTCTGTAAAATTGTTTAGAAAACTATTTGATTATTATTAGTAAAACAATTTCCATTAAAACTTTTCACTCATTTTAATGAATATGATGCGAGTGTTATTGAAGACGTAATTAAGTTTACGTATTATTTAGTGGGAATAAATGAATGGCATTTTATACATACGCTAATGATTGTTGATATTCTAAATGTGAGGGAATGTTATGAATTTGAAAGTCGCAAGTAATCACAGCTTCAGTGAGTAGTTGTGTGAGACCCAGATATGAGGGATGCTTTAGTCTCCTTAGGAAAACAGAAAGAGAACACCTTTCAATCTTTGAAGCAGTTATCTGATATGATCAAAATATTGTACTCGCCTAGCTGTACTAGGCGAGTACTCACTCGCATATTACAACTCACTCCCCCTAGTTGTACTCACCTAGTTGTGCTTGCGGGGGTTGAGCTTTGCTCTGTGGTCCCGTCTCTCAAGCGTCAATCTACTGGTGTACGGATTCCTGAGCTTCTCGAGCTTTATCATATTTACATTTGAAACTGTGTATGGAGTCAGCCTCCACCACATCACTTCCTGGTGCATTCCCTGTACTACCTACTGTAAAACCCTCACAGCAGTATGATGCCACATATAAAAGAGTAGAGGAACATTAGGTGAAGGAGGAATACGACGGACCATATAAAAGCAAGAAGACAAGGACGAAATACAACGAAAAGGTAATTTCTAAAACTTGCTTAACAGGCGTAATAGATTTCTCCCAAATTTTGTGTCTTACAAAATTGTCCAGTGAGGTTTATGTGCTCGTTGATCGTTAATGAATATTAGGGATGACGTACAGGGTGAGCAGAGTAGTTGGGGGGGGGAGGGGGTGGGGTGGGCTGATGTCTTAATGAGGCTGAGGGGATGGGGCGGGGCATGGGGGGGGGTGATTTATTACGGCACCAAGAATTAAATGGAGGAAGAGGGTAACAGGGGGGGGGAGGATTGCTTCCGGACAATATTTCCAACGACTATGCACAAAAAAACATGTATATATCCAGAACTTTCTATTGTACTTGGTCTGTAAAATAGAGACACAGACAGGCAGACAGACAGACAGCTAGTGTGCAATGTGCTGAATTTGTGTATGTGTGTGTGTATATTAATAGCATGAATCAACCATATGCGCTAACAGGATCCAGATGTTACCTCTAGGACCTCACCTTTACCTCTTGGACCTCGCCTTTCTGATCGTATATTGTCCAGTGTACCAACTGTCGACCTATTTTTCATCAATCACATCTATTTTCATCAATCATATCTACTACATCTACTATGTAGCCTGGGTGGAACGAGTCCACGCAGTGAGAGTTATTCTGCTTTCCGGACCTGAAATAAATAGGTCAGAGGAAGAAAATATATAATAAACACCAGTGACTAATTAAAAATTCGAGCAGAGGATGATCGTCTGGTAATAAGTGACAGAAATTGGGATGTCAATACTTTGGTGATGTGACGTGACGCTATCAGGACGTTGTGACGTCACTTGAGTCACATCAGTCGTCATAGTTGGTCGGACTTCGTTGATCTCCTGGAAGGAGGAAGAACATAGTTCCCTGTGTTAGTGCTGGAGTGAAGGCTACTTGCTTTCAAGTGTAAGGAAGCTGTAGGGGACATAGTACAATATTTCTCTGTGATTTGGATATATTAGAGGCGACCTGGAAGTGAGTGTTGGTCGCACCTTTGTGGCACTCTAATTGTGTGCCTTCAAGAGGAAGGAAGTAAGCAGGCGTTTCTGTGTGGAGCCTGCCAGGCGACTCCGTGTACTCAAGTCAGGACTAGAAGAAGCCTTGTGAAGCAGTCATATAGCGATTTTTGTTGGCAGCCTGTGTGAGCGCCATGTTGAGTACCAGGGAGTGAATGCCATAAGTCTTAGATCCTTGCAATTTGTCTGGGAAGAAGTTAATGGGAGAACTTCGAGGCTGGAGAAGAAGTGTTTGCTGAACTCTGTGGTAGAGCAGAACTCCATAGGAATGAGTTGACTTCAAGCAGTGTAGGAGAGCGACATGTTTCTTTGTGAAATCAGTGGAGAAGCGTCACTGATGTTGGAGTAGAACTTTGTTGTGCAGCAGATTAGGAAAACTGCAGAAGTGCCTTTCCTGATATTTTTGGAGGACCCAGATATATGCATTGATTAGTGAGCCTCTAGGAGCAGAACAGAGGTTCATGGTGGAAACATGATTGTATAAGGGAAGTGCTTGAATGCTTATTGGCATGTAAGACGCAGTGTAAGGTGAGAGAATGATTTCTTCTTTTGTTGGGGGGATACTTACATAGATTTGTCAGGTATTTCAGCCCTAAGAAGAGTTTCAGATAATTTTAGGGTTGCGGATTCAGTATTGTTGTGACAAGATTTCAGTCCCAAGCAGTGAGAATTGGTGAAGCCAGGATATGATACTGTAGTGCTACCGGGTTGTAGTAGTTAGGAGTATTGTATGACCATATTACTTATCATAAGTTTTTATTATGAAAGTTTAATAATGTATTTAATGCTTTGTATGTTAGCTGCCTTTTGCTTTTGTCTGGTTTTTTCCCATTAAATGTTTTATATGTTAGCTGGAGAGAGCTCTTGTCCTGGAGAGGTGAGAGAGAAAGCAGAGAGAGAGAGAGAAAGAGAGTCATGGCTGAGGATAGTGTGACAGTAGACACTAATTCACAAAAGGGGGATTTAGGAGATCATTCCAAACACGGAGAGAGTGGGGAGTCATGGCGGCTCGAGTAGGGTGTGTGTACATACGACAACAAGGCCAGTTTGGGAGCTGCACCCTTAAATAGGTGATGCTGAATCCCTCTCCAAGATCAAGTTGTGTACATGGTGATCTAGAAAAATTGCAAGCACTACAGTGTCCATTGCTGTTCGACCAATGGTAGTGGTAGTGGGAGTATGACTGCTGAGGTCGGCTGTTTATTCTGTCAGGGAGTGATTGGGGATGCTGTCCACCTGTATGCAAGTAACAGTCTGGTGCAACAACCAGAGCTTCCTTCCAGGAGATTTATATTCCCAACCAGCTCATATACCGGACTTGAGAATATTGGGGGCCTGTCCGGGATTGAATTAACACGCCCACAGTTTGAGTTCAGGAAAGTGGGCTGACACACCCATTGCAACTGTAGGTAGCCTGTTTGATCACAGGTAGATTTTCTTTTTCTTTGGAAGACCCACAGGACAGGATGGAAAAGGTGTAAACGTTTGTAGAGTTAGGCAAACCTGAAGATATAGAGGGTTCCACCAAAGAGCAGTTAAAGCAGATAGCAGAGAAATGTGGAGTTAAAATGAAGTCATCTAAAGTGGCTGCAATGAAGGATGAGATCCTCAGACAGTTGAGAAGTAGGAACGAAGTGGCAGAACAAGGAGCTCAGAAAGGAGCTGAAAGTAGAAAGGAGGATAATGGATAACATGAAGTAAGATCTCAAGGATCAAGTAAGACTATTAGGAGTAGCCACAGTAACAAGAGTAGCAGGAACAGGAGCTTGTAAAGATTTTAACTAGAGCTCCAGATGCAACGAGAACGTGAGCGTGAAGAGAAGCAGTTCCAACTAGAGAAGTTGAGGTTAGAACTTCAGATGAAAAATGAAGCGGAAAAAAGAGATAACTACACTAGAGGTAGAAAAGAAAAGCCCCGAATAAGTGAACTGGAGTTGGATCACGAGAAAGAAAAAGAGAAAGCCCTAGTTGAAAGATAAAAAGAGAGAACAAAACAAATGAAAATTGAAGCAATAGAGTATTGGCAGAGCATAGGATTGAACGTGGGTTGCCAGAGAGCACCACACATGTATCACTCCTGCCAGATAATAAAGTTAGGGAGAAAGATATTCCACTGTTCGTGCCTGAAGAGTCAGAGAGCTTCTTTGAGAATTTTAAGATAGCCATCATCAGACAATGGCCGCAAACGTAGACTCAAGTGGTACAGTTACAGTTGGCCGATGTTGCCAGAGAGGCGTATACCCATTTGTCTTTGGAGGAATGCCATGATTACTGGACTGTGAAGAGCAGCATATTGTTCGTCTCTGGTAATGCATGAAGCATTTAGAAAGTGTTTCAGAGAGCTGATGAAGGCTTCAGCAAGTACGTTTTCCGAGACAGCGAGAGATCTGGAAAGGCATTTCGAGAGGTGGATAGAAGCTGTCGGTGTAGAATCCTATGGTGATTTGTAACACTTGATGATTAGGGAAAAATTTCTGGAAATAATACACCCTGAAACGAAATTTAAGATTCAGGAGGCAGGATTGAGGAATGTGAGAAATGCAGCTGATAGGACAAATATGATTACAGAGGCTAATCGGAGCTTGAGGGAAAGCAGAGTGAAGAGAACTGTGAGACGTGATTATGGCAGACCAAGTGGAGCATGGGGTGGCAAAAGTGTCAGGAACAGGTAAATAAGTATGGTGGCCTCAAACCATGTAAAGGAAAGCTGCCGAGTCTGCCGGCCGGAATTAAGCGGGAGACTAATTATGTACCGAGGAGTCAGGAGTCCAGCCAATCACAGCAGAGTGCAGGTGGTGCGCCTGTGCAGTGAACCCCGAATGTGAGTGGACAAAGTCAAAGCCACTCACAGGGAATATAGAAGAGACTTCTCCCAAGTAAGATGCTATTAATGTAACAGACA